TCTTGTCACACCTTAAACAAAGTACACTGATGTATTTAATGATACATAATTATGTACTGCACAAGGTGATCTTTCACTTAGTAACATGTCATGTGATGTACAGTGTCTGTTGAAGTTCATGAAGGCTTAGTAAGCTTTAAGCTTTTTATTTTATTTTGTTTAATGTGTGACCCTCTGCCTCAATGTTAATCATTATAAGCTGGTCTAAATCCGCTGCTGCTGATGAGCTGGAGCTGCTGACTGTGCATTTATTGTTAAGTGTACTTGTACTGTAGAAGGCCAAACTAAAATGTCTGTTTTCTTTCCTTAACAGGAAGCCGAAGCAGTGGATCCAACCCCAGCGCAGGCAATGGTAGACGCTCCTCCCCGCAGGAGAAGGGTCAACGGTCAACATGCAGCGAATCAGAGCCCCGCGTCCGTGGAGGGAGGCGCGGTGATCGGTCTGCCAGCCAAATGAGTCATCACAGCCACGCTGTCTCCAGTCACAGTCACGCCCGATCAGGTCTCAGTCAGAGTCAGACACACAGAAGTCACTCTCTCTCACAGAACAGCCACCCATCCTTCACCTACAGCCACGCCCCCTTCACACAGCCAGGGCCAGGCTCATGTGCCCACAGTGAGCGAAGCCATGCCTCCTCCTATGGCCCCCCAGGCTTGCCTCCCCCTTACTGTCTGGCCCGTCTGGCCCCCAAGACCTCTGTCAGCAGCACACCCCCTGGAGCCCCTCCTGGGAGAGAGTTAGCAGCCGTTCCTCCGGAGCTCACCGCCAGTCGCCAGTCCTTCCAGCATGCTATGGGCAATCCCTGTGAGTTCTTTGTTGACATCATGTGACAGGACAGTGCCTTTAAAACTCATGGAGCACAAAACAATTCTCCCCGCACCCACTCTTTTGTCTTTCCTCTCAATCTTTTGCCTCTGACCATCTCTTAAGTTCAGAATGTAGACACTGGCCCTGCTATCTGTCTGTACCTCTGATGTCTAAGTAAAGAAATACAGGCAGGATGAGCACAACAGGAAGGAGTCCTCTCACACATGGGTCCTCTGTGGCTGAAAGCCCTCTTTTGTATTGACGTGACGTGTACAGTTTGTGAAACGTGAGTGGTATTCGGTGTGGTGATTCTTTAAAGCTGCCGCGCAGACATTTTTGGGAGTGTGTGTTCTTCTGCCTAGGATATTTTCTGTTCTGCAAGACCTTTAAGCTGGCTGGGCCTGGATCTCAATCCCCCAGACCCAGACCGACAAATACCGGCCATATTTAGGAACATTTCTCTGGGCCTAGAACGTGGAATTGATCTTCTGATTCATATCTGTGCAAACAGATAAACGCATGTTAAGCCAAACCTCTGGCCCCATTTCTTTTATACTGTGGCTTTGCCACCGGCTTATTCAAGCTCTTACCTGCCAACTACTAAAATGCTAACCTTGATCAGTTCATGACCAGTGGATTTCTTCAACTTCATAAGATAATAAGTGAGGCCCTGTAGCCAGCCATTAGTTTAACTAGGCTGCATATTGCATGACTGTCTCAACTGCTTTAAAGAAAAGAAATTTTATGAATACATTTTGTTTAAAGTATTACCATTATTGGAGGGAGGGGTTACCTCTTGCCAATGTTCTAAAGGAAGAATCCGTACACTGGATGATTTTTGTGATGTTATTTATGTGATCATGTTGCATTGAAGGTGTCATACTTTGTCTACTATGGCTGACTGACAGACAATCAGACATCACTCTTTGTGAATCAGTGGCCAGTTCCCACTGTCCTAACTTTGTCGAATGTATCATTATTCCTGTCAGTGCTTAAACCCTGACATTCCTAACACTTTAAACTTACCTTAAACCCATTTAAGTAAGCAAATCAACTTACAAACAGGATTGCAAACAGTGGACTACCACCACAGCTGTGAAAGCAAACTCAAAGGGTTGACATGAGATAAACCAGTTTGCTGAAAGCATCATGGTTGTCTCCTTAGTAGCAAGTGTGAACTTCGATAAAAGTCAGCGTGATAAAAGCCAAAGCCTCACATTGAGTGGTGGATATTTTGTAATAATGTAGACGCTGTCTATGATGTAGATCTCTTTTAGAGGTCATCGTCTGACACTTCTCATTTTACAACTTCAAAGTGACTTCAAGGGGATTCCTGGCCTTCAGATACTGATCTCCTTGCAAAACAATGGCAAACCCCGTTGGATCTACCTAAAATATAGTTACAGGAGGGAAATAACACACAGACAGTAGTTTTATGAGCACTTTTCCATTTTTGTCTCTCCCTCCCTTTAGTATGAAACACTGTTTGCAATCAAAGGCTTTTCTTTAATTTTGTTTCTTTACAAAAGAAGAATAAATTGTACATAGAAATTTATTATATATGAATAAAATATATATGTTAAAAATGTTTTCTGCTTTTCCATGATAATCACCTGTAACATTTTACCTTAATAGTCTCACCCTGAATATATATTTTTCTCTTTTTTAGCAGGACCACTAGATGGAGACATTCAGTGTGTAATTTACACGTTATTAACCCACTTATTAAATTGTAAGTTTGATATGTAAAATGCATTTTGGAAATGACTGCATGCAATAATTACCCATTTGAATTGAACTGACACAATCACATAGGTGGTCGTTTCTCAAGAGGCCTACATGAAGACCACTGGTTGGTGAGTATACCTAAAGCATAAACTATAGTTGTTATGTCACCACAAAAGCAAATGTGTCAGCCACACAGTGTGCTTTGACGCTCAGCTCACACCCCTGAGTGGAACAACTGCTGTCGTGTACTTTCCCAGTGGGCTGACTCTTAAAAGGCTAAAATGCATGCTAAACCCATAGAGACCCCCTCTCTCTCTCTTGACCCATCAGCCACAGACACTATTGTTTGAAGTTGATGCCACAAATGTGGGAGCCAAATGAGAGGATGTCAGAAGACGTTTGTCAGGAAGGAAGTGATGTCAGACCCTTGAATGAATATGCCCTCGCATGCAGAGGCAGATTAAAAAAGTACCCTACTAAAGAAGCAGTCCCCAGAAGAGAACAGTGATCTGTCATATTCACAACACACAGCAGAGCTGACACAGTTGCAGTCTGACTAATTGCGTCTTGTGTCAGCCTACATGCAAATACACACACTCACGTATTTACCAGCACATCATGAATATCATTACGACACTACTTACCGAGCGAAAGAAACACGAAAGTACTTCCCGAGTCAGTATGTTAATTTAGCCATAGGGGTTTACTGTGCTTCATAGCTGAATTTAGGGGGGAGGTTTAAAGGTAAGTGTGGGAGGTATTTCTTGGCCAAGTATGTGGAGGCTGATGAGGTCTCAGGTAACGCGCGTATTTTTTTCTTAAAGTAGGCGAACCCTGATACAAAATGTCAAAAGGCGAAAGCCTGCCAAATGCCAGCCAAGTAGCCTTACAGTCATGCGAACGATGACGCAGCAGGCAGTCTTGTGGTGACGACTAGGTGCTCTTCATATTTGCGTGTGAATTAAAGCTGAGTCATAGTATAATGATATCACTTAGTAATGTATGGGTATGACCTGTCATCTCATCATTAGTTATCAAAATGTCCCCTTTTCCAAAACTCAAAGGACTTCCAGTAAGGAAACAGAAGTTCCGTTTTAAAACGGATGGACAACAAAGGCCACTTCATAAGTAAATAACCTTCTGAAAGCCACCGTTTCAGTCACAACACAATATGTTGCACTTTCTACTTTCAGTTAAAAGGGAATTTAAAGTGTTGCTCACAGACACATGCTACTAACAGCAGGTGATTAGAGCACAGAGGGTGGGAATTTTTCCCTGCCCTTTAATCGTGACCCTGTACATAGGCTAACTAACGGTACCTGGCATGACTCACAGTCAATAAGTCAGTCTAATATTCGGCATTTTCGTGGATTTTACCATCAATTGCTCCGTGTCGAACCATATTAGTTCCAGTTTTAGGATATGTTGTAGAGCTAATTTCGGCATAAGTTTATTCATATCTTACATCTGTTTTTACAACTTGGTTTTATGGCTTATATCGCCTTTTGTGTAATATATGTAGCCTAGGCTGTATCCCGTGAGGCAGTAATAGTAGAGTACAAGCAGGAAAGTCCCCACTCAGTCGTGATGCAGTTCAAAGCTAACCATTTTAAATAACATTACACTACGATGTCTTTTGCACATCAGATAGGCTGGAAAGGCACTGCTGCCATAGTAACGTCTCGTCAGGTACAAAATCAGCTCTTCTGAAAACGTCTCAGACAGTTGACCACTGTAAAAGAGCCAATCGGCATCTCTCCAATTCCACTCACGAAATGGGGATTGTCTCTTCTTAATGTGAGAAACATGAACAACTTGAAATTGTGTTCAAAGCTAACACAAAGTCCATTTGCTCTTGGTTGGTAACTGTTGGCTACTCAGATTGTTGCGTTGCCAAAAGTAGTTTAGCATAATGCTAAATAAAAGATTTGCATTAGTAAAATGTATTATTTAGCCTAATTATTGATTTTAAAATGTACTCAAAAAGTACATGGAAAAGATACATTAATAGGCTACTTGTAATGACATTGACCCATTTATGTTTGCTCTGAAAGTTGTGGCTGGAATTGTGGTTTTGCAGATACAATAGTGAGTTTAGTAGAATTAAATCTTGCATCAGGCGCTGCTTAATGAAAGCAGTACTGGGGTAGAGAACAGAATATTGCAGCCAGATCTGTTGATAAAGCTTTTCCTTTTCTTTACCAGCTACATGATCTTTTATTTCTCTTGATATTGATAGTTCGAGTCTTGCTGTGTATTGATTTCCACCGAAAGAAATACGTTGAAATTAAATAACCCATATTATAGTTATTGTTTTTAGGGGTTCAAATTTTACATACTAGGAGGATAATCTGTCAGTATTTGTCATTCATTCAGTCCTTTACACAATCTTTCATATGATTGGCTTCAAGACTTTAGGATACGCCCTCCTGAAAAAAAAAACCCATGAGCATGAATAACACACTCAGCTGACGGGGTGAGTTATGTGTGTGAGAACGCTCTGGCACAGCACATAGATTTCTTCATATGCCATAATTAATTTTTCAACCTCATGACATTACTTTCGAGTGACTTTAGGTAGAGAAGAATGCAAAGTATGTTAATGTATTTTCACTAAAGCTATAGATTTAGAAATTCTATAAAGTTAAGTGCCTTTTTAGAATATAATAGGTACCTGGGATATTTCTTGGATTGGATTACCTCACGTCTTTGCTGAAGCGTCTGTTTCATCTGTGTCTTACCACAAGGCTGGAGAGCTGACAACAGTATGGCTGTGATCCTGTGGTTGATGGGTTTCTCACTACTGATGCAGGGATGTTTGTGCAGTCCTGAGCAGACGGGCTGCATGAAATGGACACAAAAAGAAGGGAATGTTTGCTGTGATCTCTGTCATCCCGGTAAGTAATAAAGGCGACATTGACCATTACAACTCAATGATTTCAAATCGATGAAATGTGCTGTTAGTTCAGAAGAGTATTTTTTGACAAAGGCTCTACAGGTCAATATAATGTCTGTCTCATCCCTATCCTGAGGTTGCTACTATTAAATGGGCAAACAGTTTTGAAATGAAAACACTATATACCTATATATTCATGAAGGGAATGAGAAATGCCCACTCTGCTCACTTTCACCATAAACTCAGTTGTTATACAACGACATATATCATATAGATATAATATACAAGAACTTAACATAACACGATCCTTTCTCAGACCTCAAGAGTTAGTTATCCTGGGAAGTCTCTAATAAAAGCAAAAAGGATACTGAGTTGTGTGTGCTGTTATCTGCTGAAATTAAAAGGAAAGAAATATTATATTCCAGCCTTTGAGCAGTTCCTCCATAGTGGTTGCATGTAACCAAATTTAGTTTCAGTGGTTTTTCAGCTAATACCACAACAAAGAGCAAAGGCTTGGATGGTACAACTGATAAATGAAAAAATTTGGAGCTGTGATACATACTTGTATATGTCATTACAATTGCAAAACAGTATAGTTTTGCTGTGCTGCATTTCAACTTTTAAACCTTGAAGGGGGAAAGTGATATTACCACGTATCTGAAGCCCTGTTACATTATTGAAATACATAATCTCACTGAAACTGACTAATGTTACTGAGTTTGCAATATAGCTATTCGTATCTGTGTGTGTCTGTTTGTAGGAAACCGCCTGGTCCAAGATTGTGGTCGAAACCCAAAAGATCTTTGTACTCCATGTGAGCCCAATACATTTACAGTGAAGCCTAAAGACTACAGGTGTTACAGGTGTACACAGTGTGTAGGTATGTTAAAAGATCCTACGGTCACAAAACTACAGAACTTTTTTCCCGAGTGTTGTTCTATAAGTTGACAGTTTGTAAAATTACAAGATCTTACAACTCTCTTTGTATGTGTAGGTGCTCTTGTCCTTGTGGAAGAGTGCACAGCCACAAAAGACACAAAGTGTGGCTGTAAAGAAGGACTCGTCTGTGGCAATGGCCAATGTTCCTTCTGTGTTAAGGAGTGTGGCAAAGGTCACGAACCTGCAGAGAATCGTAAGTTAAACAAAAAAAAAGCACACGACTTTGGCAAATACACACTAGATTTACTTGTAAACGTTGAGTGGCAAGTCAAATCAATGCTTGTCTGCACAGGTTTTTGCAGACCATGTCCAGATGGAACCTTCAATGACCAAATTCACCAGAAGTGTAAACCCCGGAGTACCAAGTGAGACATACCCTGCTCAAAAAAACATCATTTGCCAATACAGCCATGTTTTATTGTTGTACTGACTGACAGATTTGATGAAACTGTTTAATCCCCCCCCCCCCCAAAGGTGTCCTAACCCAGATCAAAAGATTGAGGCCTTTGGAGATGCATTCACGGACATTAAGTGTACTAATGTTTCAGTTTCCACAGTGAAAAATCCAAAGCAACCAGGTAGGACGTGATTCTACTCCTCTAATGTACCGGTACTTGTGTTTAAATTCTTATTTGTTTAAAGCTGGGCAATCATTTTTTGCTGTTTTGTATCAGATTACACAGAACAGCCATGGCCATTTGTCTTATCTGTGGTCACCAGCGTAGTCCTGATGGGCTTTAGCATCATCATCATCATCATCGTGGTCGTGAAAGTCCTACGGAAAAGAAAAGAAAAGGGGCCAAAAAAGCCACAAATCCCCAAAACCCCCATAATAAGAACCCCTACAGGTAATTACCCTTGTACTTTATACAGGCTATCTATCCAGCCAATCACAAATACAGTGAAACAGGATTTGTCCTCTTTTTCTTCTTCAGATGACCCTGCAACATTAATAGCAATTGAGTGCAGTTTCCACGAGGCGCAGCAAGAGCAGGGCAGCAGCTCAGAGTCGCTTGCCTCAAAGGACTCCTCAGAACAGCTCATTGCATGAATGGAAGCGGACTGGGCTAGACTGTCACAATGAAATATCTGCAAAGGTTTTGTTAAATTCAGTGAAAGGAAACAGGATATTCCTGAATAAGATGTGGTCCTTCTTTGTGACTCTGAGCCAAAAGTTTGGAGAATGCCTTTTCTCTTTGGATTATCTAAATGAAGGAAATGTAACAGTGTTCACCCAGCTGTCTTTTAAACACCCTCTTTTTCACTTATCAGACTAACCAAAGCTATTGCGAAATTCCTGAAGGGTCAACCTAGAAGTAACATTTGCTTTACAATTACACCAGGATACAATTGTATGAATCTTTTGATGAATCAGCAAATATTCTCACAGGGGGTGAAGGGGAATTCTGAGAGAAAAAACAAATTGGATTTACAAAGTCTATTCATCATGTAAATCATGACAGTGATGCTGTGTTTTTTCCCCTTCCAGTTAAGCTTGAAAGTCAGTAGTCCTAAAATAGCTGTGGGATGTTTCAAATTAAAGATGGATTGAATGGTAGAACATACATTAAATTCATAGCCTTTAGAAACCTATTTTTCTTTTAAACTACTTTCAAACAAACTAGATGGACTTGAGTCAGTGGACTGTGTAAGATAATACTGTTTAAATGAGTGTGAATGACTACTTAAATATTTGCATGTCTGTGCTGTATGAATGTACAGTGAAGATGGGTGTTCCGGTGTAAAAACGCCTAAGGCTGAGCCCACATATGCCTCCCGAAATAGATTATTCGTTTTACTCAGGCTCCAATGCCAAACCTAGTTACTCACTGTTTACTGCTAAATATGTACATTTATGACCATGTTTATGTTCAGGCAGCCAAACTAGAACAGTGCTGTCTCGGTCATGATTATTATATGGTGATGCGTGATTTATAATAATGTTACTTTTTGTCTGTTTTATTATGTTTATAATATAAACTCGTCTATGTGGTCTACTTTGTTTGATAAATTGTTAAGATAATAGTGCACAGAACACAATAGCTTTGTGTACTATTCTAAACAAAGCTATCAAGTTGAAAACAGCTTCTTTACCAGGAACTAAACGGACTTTCCTACTGTAGATTTTTTGGTGTCAGAAAGTCCAGTGAAGGGGATTCCCCTGTTTGTCAATAGGTAATCCTACAACACCCCTTAAGTAAAGCACCAGGGAGTCTACAGTACAGTACAGTAAATTACTGCAGTACTGTACCTTGGCCTTTTGTTATGAGGCAAAGATTTGGTTAGAACACTTCCTGAGCAAGCCAGTGCATGTCTCTTGAGCAAGAGCACAGTTGGTATCCCTAGATGGAATCTCAGAAAATGTGATTAGTCAGTCAGATCAGCCAGTGACAAGTGAGATTCCTATCAAGTGTGTAACTGTAGTATATCCTCGGGTCAAATGTGACACACACACAGCAAATACATGAGTTACAGAAGATATCAACATGAGGTGTGAGGGTTATGTGGAAACCACCACAGTCAGTCCTGTAATCATTACTTTTGCTTATCTTTATACACCATGAAGTGGGCAGTGAAATCAGACCAAGTGGAACATTTTTCAGAAACATGTCTTTTCTCAACTGTAGCGGGCGTACCTTTTTTCTGAAGTGGAACATTTGAGAAATGTGCTGTGTGGGCTTAGGGTGAAAATGTTAGCCCACACTATAGTAACGTATCAGTGCGTCATAACTCGAGTAAAGTGATGTCTGCTAGACCACAAAGTTCAGAGGTGAAGATCTACCACAGTACCATGACGTTTTCATTTCACTGTAGCACTTTACTTCAGCTGTCAACTGTTGATTAACATTATGCACTTTGTACTTTTATAACTTTTTAAACAATAAAAACTGGAATTTATTTTTATTTGTTTCACTTTCAGACAGAACAATTGCAATAATAGTGGTCCACCTAAGCAGTGGCACATTTCATTTGTAAAAAAAAAAAAACAAACCAAAAAAACAACAAAAAGTGTTTTAAACATGGTCGTAATATGAACATAAAAACAAACAGAAACTGAGACCAATAAATGTTTATGTGTGCAAACAAATGTGTTGTTTTCTGTAAAATTAATGTTAACTGTTATCAGAATTGTCTTCTGACTGATAAAAACTTACCCATCAATATATACAAAAACATGAGTTGGATATTTAACAAATATTTGAAGATTAAAAAGGTCCACTTACTCAGAAAGTCTTCACTCTGTGAATGGAGCCGATTCAGGTGCCATAATTTGGCACCTGGGCCCCGTTTCAGAAAGCGGGATTAGTGAAAATTCTGAGTATGTTAAACCTGAGATGAGGGAAACTCTGGGTTTTCCGTTTCAGAGAGCGAGATCAGTAACTCCGGCAACTCATGCTGTGAACCTCCTCGGGAGGACGTCAGGTTCATAGGATAAGTTGGAAAACCGTCAGTGTGTCTGACGCCTCGCCTCCCCTCCTGCGGAGCCTGAGGCGGCTGTCTGACACACCGTTTCATTTCCTCATTCATTCTGTCAACATCAAAGCACATATCTGAACACATTTACATCTTATAAAGTCATCTAAAACTTTAAAATCCCGGTAAGATAGGCTATTAGTTTTTTACCCAACCATGATCTTGAATATGACCGCTTTTATTATCAATCTGTCATCGACGTATGGACAGATTTCCGCACATCGTGGATTTATCCTCAGCCCAGAATAAAATCTATGTCTTTAGGTATATCGCAGCGTTATACCTCTGTGGACAGTTGCACTGAAAACACTTAGGCTACCTAACCACTGTTTACTATGTAGGCTAACCTATAAAACTGATCAGTGAACAGTAGGCCTAATCTTACATATTGTAGTCGCACTGATTGGAACGAAAATACGAAATGCGCAAGATTTTATTAATGTAAAATAGATGTCTAAAACTTTGACCTATAGACACATTTTCCACTGCAAAAAATAATTAATAGGCTAATCTGCTGGGTGTGACTGTAACTTTACAATTACAGGTTCACGAATAAACTGTTTCTTATATTTTATCTATAGCAGACCTATTTTCATAATCAGGTAGCCGATTGCCACCGGCATTTAGTCCCGTCGGGTTACAGCTTAATAAATATGGCCTTCCTATTTAATGGGCTGTAGCACTTTATCATTTATTAAGGAAATTCCAGTCTGGTAAATGATGAATAAGCAACGCTGTGTAATAGATTAATATTAACGCATTGATCCTTCCTCCACTCCTGCATTTTAGAGCCTATCTTGGCCCGCATTCAAATTTCTAGCTCCACCCGATTAAAATGGGGGCTCTGCCTTTATTTACCCGTTGCCATGGTGAATCGTTGTATCGGAGCTCCATTGATTATGGCTTTTTTTCATCCCCACGCACGCACTTCAGTCAGGCTCAACATACTCAGAGTTGATTGAACTTATTCTGATCTGCTGTTCTGGAACCGAAAATTCAGAGTTTCCCCACCTCAGGCTCAAGCAACCCAGAGCTCAGGGATCAGCTCAGAGTTTGTTAATCCTGCTTTCTGAAACAGGGTTCAGGTGTGGAAATTCAGTCACATGATAAGGAGTGTTTGTGTATGAGACAAATTGCAAACTGTCTCAGTTTAAGAATTGTCTGTAGCATAGTTAAGTGGATCTTTGAGTTTACAGTACTTTGTTACACATAGTGTCTCTAAATAATATACTTACATCTGGATATTATGAAACAACTTAACATACTTTAAATGGTAGTTGTAGTATGGATTTTCAACAAATAGAATTTCCACTTAATAAGGGTTAAAGAAGTTCATTTGATTGTCTTTGTGCTATTGTAAACATGACTGGTGTCCTGCTGAAACAAAGTTGGCAACCACTCCAAAAGTGGATGTAACTTGTCCGATAACCACGTCACTCAGGTTCAAGGGTTTTCATTGTTACTTCTTGTTTTGTCACATGACATTTTGGGTGTTCCCGGTATAGTGCTTAACTATATAAAACTAATAAAAGTTAAATTGAAAAAATAATTGAAAAAAATGTATATGGTTTAAATTAAACACTAATTAACACTGAATAATTCAAACAATAATTCAATAAACCTTTTAAAATTATAAAAGGCAAGAGTCCAAGGTGTTGGTGTTGTCATTATCCACTTAATCGAGAAATATTTTAAAATGTCACTTCTCTTAATTCTTTCTCTTTGTTCCAAAGTGCTTGTAGGAGTGGCTGGTAGAGAGAACTTAATTGTTGTAATTTTCAACCTTAAAGTACTAAGTAAGGAAAACTCTGTAGCTGAACTGAAAGTGTTATAAAATATAAATGGACTCCAAAAGCACAGTGTGTTAAAATTATTGTTGCTTGCAATTTTCCTTCTTCTCTTTGGGTTTTGTGCGTCCTGATCTTTCCGTTGGCCGTTTTGTGGGTGGAATGAAAGTAGGCTCCTCGAGGAAGTCACGTAAGCCAGAATGCGGCATGGGAAGTGACTGACAGGTTGGTTCTATATTGGAGAAAAAAAGAATTTGGAGTGTGCAGCCATTGTTTAACAGTTTCATTAGCAGTGCCTTTTATCCTGTTTACAGTACCTGTTTGTCCCACACGGAAGCTCCCTGTGTCTTGCCTCCTGGCTTGGAAGGTCGGGTCAAGCTCTTCCGCAATGTTTCTGATCTGCTGGACTTGTCTGTAAACGCAGCAGCAGTAAGTCGGCATATAAAGTAGATGAAAGACATGCCAGCTGGTGGACACTGATGAGCAGTTCTCATGGTAACAATAAAAGACATTTATCAGTTTCATGTATATTCACGCAGAGACAATTACGGTAAAGTGGAGTCGGGGCTGGGTGACTGATTGCCTGGGGAGCAGTCCTCAGTGGGGGAAGGAAGGCCCTCTGAGTCAAGTCTCTCTCGTTGGACCTAGGCAGTAGACAAAGGACAAACTCATTTCATCATCTATCATATTTAAAAAATAGTATTGGAGTTTTCATCAGCTAAGATAGATTATAGCAAGGCAAGTGGAGTGTTGAAGTGAATATTTTAAAAGACATGTATGACAATGACATGTACTGTACTTGGATGCCAAAACAGTTTTTCAATATCTACAACACATTTACCTGTCTGTCTCTTGCAGCTCGTCTGTCATGATGACTGATCATCGCTCTGTGCTCGCGCCACGATGCTGGCCCTTCTAACTCGCGTGATCGACGCTTTGACTTCATTTCCTGCTTCTGCATAAAACGTGCAATTTCCTAGTGCAAAACCACAATAATTAGATCATTCAACAGGAAAAAAATTAAGGTACATGGTACTGACGACATGTTGATTTATAATCGTACCTCATCCTGCGCCACTTGTGCTACTCTGAAGTCTCTCTCTGAATAAGCCCTACATGGAGAGTGCTGGGAGCTCTGCAAACACAAGAAGGTAAAATTAAAACAAACAGAAAAACAATAATCAAAAGAGATACTGATCTACCGTCTTTCTCGTTGACAGTATAGATTACAAGACACATTGTGATTTAGCAAACTCCTGGGTCCCTTACCCTCCTCAACAGTTTCTCCTCTTCCTCCTGCAGCTTGTGAGCCAGTTCTTCATCCTGTAGGACCTGCTGCAGCTCCACCATGTCCAGGCTTGGCTCTCCCGGCTCTGGTTCCAATGACACTCCTAAGGGTTTGAGTTTCAAGTGTCAATTGAAATTTTATGGCAAGGAGATTACGGGTGTTAAAAATAAAAGTACAAGACAAAAAGGCCAACATTTCAATCCCACATAGAGAGAAGCGGGTGCAGCATGTAAGGCATGTTGCTCAGTTTTGAAAGGGATTCCACAGAACTTGTTTCCTCACTACATCAAAACGGAAAGAATGATGAAGATGAAAGCACACACTGAAGATTATTTAAGGACAACTGGAATTACAGATATTAACAGGAAAATGTGCCACTTCAGTAAGAGACCCCAAGTCACCACTAAAAGCCCAATTTGTCCAGATAAGACGATGATTGAGGGAAGATGAGAGGAGCAGATGTACAGAGACATGGAGGGAGCACAGCTTTGGAAGCTTCCCCTCTGCAGGTTGGAGTTGGCTGCAGTTCTGGGTGTTACCTGCTGCCATGTGCCTTGACCTATCTCTGGAAGAAGTCCCGCTGCTGCTGAGGCTTTGGCTACGCCGTGGGGCTCTTCGGTGGAGCGTCTCTCCTCTCCTCTCCATCTCCGGCTCCTCCTCTGAGCTTAACCTTTCTTCTATGGTCTTGTGCCAATGCCTTTGTTTGCTTGTTGTCCTCTTGAACCTGCAATCATCTGCATTCCTCTCCCTCTCGTCATCGTTAGAGCATCTGTGCCCACTCCACCTTCTACTGCCTCGCCTTTCACAGTTAGCAAGATATGAGCCTCTACTGCTAATCTCATAAACCTCTCCATCATCCACATTAATACGGTGCCTGTCTCGGTCTTCTCTGTGATCTCTCCCACTGTTCTCTCTGTATGAATATCTCCTCCCCTCCCCGATATCTCCATGGAAACTCTTCCTGGTGGAGGCAGCTCTCTGGAAAACTCTCTGATGTGGTTGGGAGTCGCCGTAGGAGACCTCGCTCCCGTGAAGCACCTGGCTGTCTCTGCTTTGAAGCTGTATTTGCAGTGGCGCCCCATTGCTGCCAAACCTCACAGGCACACCCCTCTCTATGAGAACCTGGCCTAGCATCTCCCAGACTCCGCTTCTATCAGCCTGCTGCTTGTTAGAGCTCCTGGTGTTCTCCTGAAAACGAACATGTTTGTCAGGGTTGTCCTTATAGCTCCAAGTTCTCACTAGGTCTCTGTTGCTCTGCCTGCTGCTTTCATGAAGCCTGACAGATTCACTTCGACTATGTCGCCTTTCTCTTACTCCGACTAACCTAGAGTCTCTATCCTGATCACTGCTCCTGTGCAAACCCTCACACCCTTCTCCACTGTTGCTATCCTGATCCCAAATCCTAGGCCTCCTCTTCTCTAGGTCACCATTTTCATAATAGTCCTCATCCTGTTTTCCCCTTTCCTCCTCAAAGAGACTTCTGTAGTTTCTGACACGTTTGTCCGGGTTGCCCTTATAGCTCCAAGTTCTCACTAGGTCTCTGTTGTTCTGCCTGCTCCTGTCATGTAGCCTGACAGATTCACTGCGACTACGTTGTATTTCTCTTACCTCGACTAACCTAGAATATCTATCCTGATATCTGCTCTTGTGCAAACCCTTATACTCCTCTTGGTTGCTTTCCAGATCCGAATACCTAGGCCTCCTCTTATCTAGGTCAACATTTTCATAATAGTCCTCATCCTGCTGTCCTCTCTCCTCCTCCCAGTTTCTGAGCTTATCTGTGCGGCTGCTGCCAGAGGAAAGACTCCTGTAGTTTCTCTCTTGCGGCTGATGTAAAGATGCCCCCCGCTGAGGAGGTGCCGTGTTGAATCTTTCATTGAGTAATAAGACAGAGAGCTGTTCAGAGAAAACTGTGTCTGAGTCCTCAGAATCCTCACTCAAAGGCTCTCTCAATTCACTCTTGATTTCCCTAAAGTGTGTGTGTCCTTGATTTGACCATGAAGTTGTGTTTCTCTGAGCTGCAACCCCCCTGGGGGAGTTAGCATTAAGCTCAGTTAAGTCTGAATGGTTGAGAGAGGTAGAACATTGCCACCTGGTGGTGGTAGATGAGTACTGCTCCTCTCCTTGGTGAAGGCTGCTGAGTGTGTGGTGGTGTGGGGATGGCAGTGCTGGATCACTGGCGCTGCCTTTAGTAATACCAAACATGCAAACACAAAAGCAGGGAGGATGGGTGAGGCTGTCAGCGTGTACTATTAGACAAGTGCAGTTAATGGTGAGGTAACAATGCATTACAAATAGCATGTAATTTTAGTATTTGTTACATAACTTTTTAAAAATGTTTTAGACACAACTGAGGCATTCCAATATGTTTATAGACTGGAATACAGATATACAGTCATGCGTAAAAGACAATATAAAAAGATATGTTATATGCATGCTTGTCAAACCATAATGAATGTGTTGTGTGTACAACAACACATTATGGAGATAATATCATGCGATAGCTATGTAGAGTATTTTTGTTCATGTTGCTGTAATATATGTAGAGAATCACTTAAATATAACAATGATAAGCAGTAGAGCAATGTTTGGTTAGAGAAAAGCTTAGCAAGGCCTGGGTTTGTCCTACTTTAAGTGCAACTAATCATTCTGCAAATGGCAAACTCCTACTCCGCCAATCCATTCACCATTTTCTTTAAAGTGGTTTGGCAGTCTTTTAGGATAGCTGACTAATGTTGTCTAATAAACATACAGCCAACAAAACATAAAACTACATGACAAAACTTAGAGTGTACCTTCACAATGGCCTTCCTGCCCTCTGCTCCTCCTGATTCTCTGCTCCTCCTCTTCCTGCAGTCGTTTAGCTATTTCCTGTGGAGACACACACGTACTGATACTTGCTTGTAAAACCATAATGAGTAACTCAGTATGAATTTGGGCTAAATAAAGATTACGGAGAAATGATAATCTTTCATTTGGTTCCCTTATTTCAAAGCCAACCATTGAACTTATGTAGTTCACAGCAAAGCTTATAATGAAATAATCGGAATAAATCAAAAACAAGCTGGTTACCTTGCTGTGCAACCATGAGTTGGCATGACCGCAAGAATGTTGACATCAAGTCTACTGTGCTGTTTTCACACAGCAGATGGCAGCACAACTTGTATAATAAATGGTTGATAACTGCTTTACTCCCACTCATCACACAAAATCTTTGGAAAATATTCACACACACACACACACACACACACACACACACACACTACACATTTATTTTCTTTTGCCTGTCTGTGTAGTTTTATATGAAAGGATGATTTGTTTTAATGTAGCCTATGTGATAGTACAGTCATCTGTGACTTTTATTGCTATCTTTGTCTTCCTGGAAAGAGAATCAAAATGTATGTAGGTTTTGCTTTTATGTTATCTTTGTACAAATAAAAGTCTACTATAAATACTGCTTTGTCTGTTTACCCTCATACCACTTTTTGCCTTAAATCTACTCAGCTCCCTTCGATTTTCAAGTAAACAACACAAATGTAACATGGATCAAACTCTCAGATGTTTGAAGAGGAGAAGCTAATCCATCTACATCCGGCATGTCTACAGAGGAGGCTACAGTAAATACAGAGCCTTGTTGGGTGCCACTGTGAGGTGACCTGACATCTTAATAGTGGCTATTTAGCACAAAGCCAGTTCAAGATGGCCAAACTATTTCAGGCAGGGCTGTGGCAGACTCAATGGAAACTAGGAGACCACATGAGAGACAAGCAAACTTTTCATCTCCTTCAGCCTGAACTATTCAACAGAAGCAGGTCAACAGGACTGTTTCACATGAAGTACCACCTTGTCACTGGGGAATACATGCTCTTACCAGAGCTGGTACACTTGTCTGCTACTGTGAAGGACAACCCGACCAGTCTGTCTCTAAAAATATTTCTTACAAATCTTCAAATTCTACCGGTCAATTATATTAAATATGAAAACATGTCTCTGTAGGCTGGATTTGCAACATTAATCATAAATAAAAGCTAATGCAGCTTCTCCTGCTTCGCAATCAGAGTGTGTGTGTCAGCTACTTTGCCAGCATCAGCAGACAATTAGCAGCTTGCCATGGCAGGTTAGGTGTGGAGTGCCACAGGGATCTGGCATTTAAAACAGCTCAGCCTGGGGCCTTCTGTTCCTTAATTAAAGGCACAATCTACAGGGAGGCAAATATTTAATCAACACCTCTGATCAGCCAGTCATTAAGGAAGGTAGAGAAACAGGGGGTGTTAATAGTTAATAATTTCATCCAAACACCAACACTCATAAAAATAAATGATTACATCCACACAGAAATAGATAGATTCTCATACCATGTGCTTCATAACCTAGAATGATTTTTACCCCGTAGGTAAATGAGGCCTTACCATTCAACTGAAGTGTAAACACATTATGTTGGTTCCAACAGAGTTCAAACTAAACTCCTTTAATAATGATGAATGGACCTACAACCAATCTGACCTCACATCCTCCAAACAAGGAGCTTTTATAAGCCTCCTCTAAAGGGGAAACTGCAGGGTAAAGGAAAATATTATGCTGAAGAAGCCTTGTGACACAGACTACTCCACTGGACCAGCTGGGGAGTTTTGGGGGAGATTTGCCCCCCCTCCCTATTCTTACACAGCTCAACTCTTAATTTCTGTTGGTGGGCAGTCAAATTATTTTTTGTAAAGCAACCGATGTTAAGAAATGCACATGCATGCTGTAAAAATGCACAGACAAAGAAATTCTTTGGAAGTTTTGGAGTGGTTGGGCTTTAGTGTGAAAATTGGAACAACAAGGGAGAGGTGATTGATGGGAACCATCTGGTTGCATCATGTTTGGGTTGCAAGATTTTTTATATTCAACATTTTGGAGAGATCTAGTGCTACCTCACAAATGGGGAGTATAATAAATTGACAACATTAACATCCTAACAACTACAACAGCATTATCTAGATATTAATGTAATTTGTATTATGTCTTCAACTTAAACAAGAGTCTACAGCCATGCTAGTGGCTCTGTGAGTCTGTACCAAGGCACAGTGGTACATGCTCACAGTGTTAACATGCTGATGTTTAGCAGGTATAATATTTACTATGTTCATAACCTTACTGTATTCACGATCTTAGTTAAACATGTCAGGCCGATAACATTTGCTAATTAGCACTAAAAACAAAATACAGCTGTGGTGTCTGAAAATGATTTTGCTCATACATTGGACAAATTAGACTTTTGACCTGATGGAAAGTGATCACCAAAGTATTACAATTGTCAACCTCATGGTGGCGCTAGAGGAAAAGTCAGTGGCATTGCAATGCCAAGTGCCGCACTGCTAGTGTGGCTAAAATGTCACACTATGATAGATTTTAGTAAAATGTAACTTCATTTATTTAGACATGAGAAATGTGAACACCACCACTGCGCTTTGTGGATTTTGTCATGACGTAAAATGTGGAGACAAAAACAATGTAGGTTATGGAATTTTTCACTTGACACTTAACTAAGAAAACCCTTTAAAAACAGAATTCCAGTGACAACCCTGTTTGGAAACCCAGTAACAATGTTAAACCATTTGTGGACAATGGAAAGAATTAACCACATGAAGGCTCAGCCACTCCCTTGATTAAACACTGCACTTAGATAATGTGTGCACATCCAGTGAGACTTAATTTGCACATGTGTGTCCATTCTGTATGGACCAGGGAAACTGCATGAGCCATCATCCAGATGGGTAGCTGACAGCTTGTGTCTCTGTTCAACAGCTGACTTTGCTCATGCAGCCCTGTTACGGCACAGTGGATCCAGAGGCCCAGAGCAGCACTTTGCTGCAACTGCCATTCATTATGGACTCAGTCCTAAGAGAGGGCGAAGTGAACCATACGATATTCCCTGACCTGCTGGTAACACGCAGATAATTAAATGATACAAGTATGTCCCGAGTGCCATACAACAATGAGTCGCTGTGCTGAACTTTAAGAATAATGCTGGTGCTATTTTAAGTTTGTGCCAACTGCCAAGTTTGCCTCTCTAGATTATGCCTAGTTTAATCTGCCCACAGTACTGTAGTCGGAGATACAAATACCACACAGCTACTTTCTGCTTTGTGAACCACCAAAAATATCCTACAGGCTTCAGCATTTACTGAGTAAGATCATCCACTACAGCATTATATTAACGTAGTAGTTTGTGTCTCAAACTAGATAGTGGTTTGATACATTTTTGATTTAAAAGATACCACTAGAATTAATTCTGACATGAATTCAAGCTGACCACTTTGTAAAGAAGGAAACTACCAATCATCCAGACAACTTTGAGGATAACAGGGCATGAGCGTTTGATACTCAGTAGATACATCTGTGTATCACTTTAAATCTTACTTTGGTTTCGTCCAACTTTATGTTTTATCACTGCATTGTGCAAAGTTGAACTTGTCCATAAAGTACGGTTTCCCACTCTGCTCTGGTTGCTGGCAGTAACTTGACACCCACAATGAAGGATTTGTTCCTCTTTCAGGAGTAAATCCCTTATATTATTTCGCTTTACAAACTTTGCCGTTTGTGTCTTCTTATTTGCTGGGACAATATTGGCTTAAAACACCATAGAGGTTTCGATTTAAAAATGACAAAATGGGTAACTGGAAAAGGAACGCTGATTTTCAACCTTGTTTCCATATATCCAACATCCAAAGGGCATATTTGTTTTCAATCATATAATATAATGGATTTACTGCTTTAAAACATGCAAGTCAGGTGAAGACATGCTTTTCTGTCTCATGTGTTAACTTTTGAGATGGTCAGGCAAGTTTACCTGTCCAGGAGTTTCTCTGCGTTTAACTCGATGCATGCTGGCATAGATCCCCTCAATTAGCAGGAATTTAGTTGAATATTGATTGAATAATGTTATGAATGTTAAATGTGGCTAATGCAACTGGAAGATAGTAAGCGAAGCTATTATGGTGTATGTGTACAAAAAAAGCTAAAGTTGGATTGTTGTGCACTGTAAAAGAAGAAAATGGGTTTGTTCTATGCATTCACAGGTTGATTTGTAAGTTGAGTAATAAAAAATACCTTGTGGACAAAGAGAAGCGAGTAAAAACAATTTTATATAAAATAAAAACATCTGCATGCATCAATCAGGCTTGATTTTTGTCTAGCATGTTTATGTAAGCCTACTGTCAGCATGCCAGGTCTATCCATTTAAAGAGCTAAAGTAAATAATAGGAGCCTGCTGACTGAGAAATAATGGTTCTATGCAGACACTGATGGATGCAGATTTCCAAATTGCAAAGATGGTGAGGTGGTTAATTGACGAGCAAGTGCAGATTCATGTGACGTCAGAACCAGACCTTTAGACTCTTTATAGGGGGTTATACTTGACTGAGCATTTAAAGTTGGAAACTTCTAAGTGGTGCATGTATTCACTGTGGTACAGGCTATGAATACTAACTTCTGTCAATGCAACTGATGTAAAAGTATAGTTGTAGACCACATATCCACCAGCACAGAGTGAATGTCCACATAAGTGAAAGTGAATTCTTCTTTAAAATATTGCATGACCTTCGATGCATTAATTTGAGACATGTAAATAAGATGCAGACATAAAACGGTTTGTGCTCACCTCATCATCCTGCTCCCTCTTCTGGGCCTCCTCAGCACAACGTTGGAGCTCCTCCTGAATTATACGAGCATACTCAAAGTCTTCCTCCTCTCTACGGAACAGTCAGGGAAGAAAAGGACTTCTTACACTTGTGACTCACTGATGCAACTACCAGCACATCATGAGACAGATGTAAAGAAGAATATAAATCTGTATAGTAAATCAGAATCAGAATCCACTTTATTGCCAGGAATTTGACTCAGGATTGTACATTGCTCACGATGTGCTTACTTGTACAAAAATACCATAACACAATAATAAAATCAGACACAAACTACAGTATAGACAACTCTGCATACAGTAGAGTTAGGGTACAGGCAGTGATTTCGAAGTAGTGCAGCAGCACTGTATCAGTGTGTTTTGGGGAGCAGGGGTCACCTACAGTTGTCTGGAAGCCTGTCTGAGGAGGGCGCTCTGCTGGGCCCGCTGCTCCTCTTCCTCATCCTGAAGCATTTTGGCTACACGGATGTCATTCTGCACTAGCTGGTTCTTCTCAATGTTGGTGGTATAGTATTGCTCAACTATGAGGGCAAGGCAGAGAAAATGGAAGAGGGTGAGACAGTATTCAACGTGTTGCAATGAAGGACCATGTGTGATCTAGGTTATAGTAAATATAAATACAAATAATTACTATATTTCTTTTGGTCTGAAACTGTTCATTTTTGAATATTCATGAGTGTTGTGTTTTTGAAACATGGTTTGTGGCATGCCACACTTTTAAGGAATTCTAAAAACAGACACCAAATTACATGTCACTTTGTTTACTGTGCAAAATTGCAAAGACATACCACGATGACTGACAAAAGCTGACCAAAAAGTAGTTCAACGGCTTTGCAGCATTTTTCTTAATATTTTTTTTTTTTATTATTCTGTAATTGCAGCTCCTAAGTATAATCCTTAATTAATCCTAAATTACTTAACAGGCTAACTAAAGATGAAAGCACAATAACACAAACAGAGGTGATTACGACAAAATGGAGAGCAGCCCACATAATGTAAATTACTACAGATGTTTGTAGTGTGCAGCTGTCACATGGTAGCTTCACAGTGTACTTACTCTCCTGCTCCTGCAGGTTGTGTGCCAACGCTCCATCCTCAAGCACAGCAAAACACTGGCACACTGAAACAACAGAGGACAGCAACACTTCATTATCATACAAAAAGCGTTCAAAAAGGAAAGGAGGGGGATGTAAGTGTTAAATGAAATGAGTAGTTCTCTAAGCTTGATTATTGCTAAAACAACTGAAAAATAACAACCATCTTGAATGGTCTTGTATGGCTCATCCACAACAAGAGGTGAGGCTTTGGGTGGCCTGAAAAGAGACAATATTGGGGAGCCTTTGGTTCAGCACTCTGCGCTGTCTAAAGGGAAACAATAGGATATGAGTGCCCTGTGTTGTGATGGCTGTTGATTCAACACAGACAAAGGCAAAGGAGTGTCCCTCAAACTTTAGAAAAACAACAATCATCCACCACTCTGGCATGAATTGTTAAAGGGCTCTCATAAAATCCCCATCATAACAGGGCACCAGTGCAAGTGGCCACAATTTGTACTGTCCTCCCAAAGTTACTGGATTTAATTGCAGCAGAGCAACAGGTCCACCTAATTCTAACAAAAGCAACTATGTGACATACTCTAGTGCGAGTGTGTCAGTGTGTGTGCAAGTACATTTATTTTACAATTTATAAACACATTCTCACACACACACACACACACACACACACACACACCCCCCCGTATGAAACATATTATCTTTACGATTGTTACTGAAAGGAGCTTATGACGTAGATACGTTTTTTTCCCCTGTTACTAATATGCTCAATATGACTACCAAATGAAGATGCAAAGTTTAGGAACTAACAACTGCAACCATTTGTACCAGAAAGCCTGTGCAGAAGGTACAAATTTATGTAGAGTGAAGTCTGTGGTACTCTGTTGTAAATCCAAAGGCTTTGTTTAAGAGCTCTCTGTACACCAACTCTGTCTGGTTCTCCATATCATGACACTGCAGGGAACTGTGTCTTTCTTATCCCGTTATTCCATAGTCTGGCCACCTGCGGCTGGATATGGTCATAAAACATCTCAGTTTCATGTCATTAAAGCTCTCTAGCCTTGTCTGTTTTTGTCAAAAAGTTGACATAGATAAGGACTTCACTATAGACACAAGAACTTTAGGTGCAATTATGCAAAGAAAGTGTTACTAAACATGTGAGGCCAAACAAAGGGATAGTCAACAAGAGTGCTCTATTTCTGGATATATTTTTTAACTCCAGTCATAAGGTGGTCAATACTCACAGCTTTGCATTACTTTTTGATTTGTACATTAGTATTTATAGCTTCAGCATTTGTGGACTGTTACTTTCACCTATAAACACTCACACAAGTATTTACAGTAGTCCTTATCTGTAGTCTGTCAAACAAAACTCAAAAGTTACTCATGAGAAAATAAACACGGACAGACAGCAACACTGTGGCCCTGCTGTTTCCTTCATCTTTGCAGACACACAGTTCACTGTGACCGGACAAAACGGCTTTGCTATCTCACTGATTTTCATCCTATAACGGTGCTTTCAAATGCCAGGAGGCGGACAGACGACTGTGTTTAAGAAGAGATTTAGCTCAGTGCAGAGGGGAAAGCCTCCAGTCTGAGCCAGAGGCAAGGCTAATTAAAAAAAAACACCTGTCCTACTACTAATCTTTACATCCATACACTTAATGTTTATGATTCAATTTATGAGCAGAGGTGACAGACACATAAATGCCATATGTTGTTTAGAACAACTGGTTTAAGCTCTTGACCCAGCTATAGAAAACCTGAATACATTTTATACTGCTGTAACACAATAAGCCATTTTAAATACCTAGAACATAAATGTAAAACATGGGATATTTCTGTATTATCAGGAACACTGTGCTAAGATAACATGGTAATATAGTTGTAACATACTAACTTTATTTGTCAGCAAGTTGTTGAAGGTACATAGAAACTGTGAATCCCAATTAGGACTTTTGAGGTGCAAATATGATCCAGTATGTGGAATACTTTGCATGTTACCCAGGCTGTCACCAAGCATGGTACTAGAGATGTCAAAGCTATGACATTTATTCTTAGTTCCTTTGCTTATGGCTTCACTTGTGCTTTTTTGATCCCTTTGTCAGAAGAAGTACAAATCTAAAGCAAAGAAATATAAGAAGAGCAAAGACCCTGGGAGTGTACTTACTAGCTGAAGATTTGATGGATGACATGAATGAATGGAAGGCCTCAAGATTCATTTTGAAGTGTGACATATCGAGCCTACAGTCTACAGTACAGCTGTGACCATCTGTGTGGCTAACTGAAAACACACAAAACATCAAGTACTCGACCAATCCCAGTGTACAAAATGTTTTTTGTTCCCCACCAGCCAAAAGGCTAATGAATGTTCACATTTTACCAGCCACTCAACAGACTGCAAGCACATATATCAGCCACTTGCATATTTTACCAACATTTGTCAGGTGCCTGGTGCTAATTTTGTGCCATGTCCCTGACTATACGAAGGCTTTTCTGTGCTTGCTGTCTTGTTAAGTTTGTATTCTCAAAGACAACTTGGTATGGGTTTCTTACTCCAAACACATTCCTTGATCCAAATCTTGTCACTGTTTTCACATTCATATTCTTCTAAAAATAGTCTTCTTCACTTTCATTATTGCTGCACCATACCTTTGCTACCCAGAGCCTGCTCTAACAATGCAATGGCAAATTTCAACATTTAGAGAATTGCTTCTGAGCTGATATAACAAGTCAGATGGGAGATACCTCCTTATTTTCCAGTTCTGTAAATAGGGAAGTGAGAAAATCAGGCATTTAAAAACTTTACTGTGGTCAAATTTAGTCAAAGTCCCAAAAATTTTAAAAACATTAGTCTCTGGGTATGTTTCAGTCTACAGGGGCTCAGCAGTCAAAATTCAGCAAAATCACTCAGACAGCACTAAGCCATCAAAAGGGTCCGTTTACACCATAAATGACCATGTAAGTCTACACTGAGAGTTAACCCATACCAAGACAGACATGCATTACCACTTACACCTGTCGTGGAGCTTAAGAGACTATCCGCTAAATGGATCTCCAACCTGCCCTTATGTGTCCAGTCTGTCAGTGAGGAGGGATTAAGTGGGTTTTAATCCGGCACAACAAACTGACAGTTCAAAACACGAGTTTACTCTTAAGTCCAACTCGGAAAGCAGAACGAAAGAAAGGAGGGAAATATGGAGGAAAACAGCAGTCTTGTCTGTCAGCATGCAAGTGTGTGTGTATTTTGTGTGGGTGTGTCTGCATTGCGGGTTAACTTGTTTTTCTAAACTCCTTTAAACTATGGTTACATTACACTTTTAGGGGAGGGACAAGGAGGTTGTGTTATTATGACTGCTAAACAGGTTTTGAGGGACAGGGTGTGAGGCACACGTTCAGTGCAAGTCCAGGCTGAGTGTGTTTTCAAAATGGTCCTACTGTAAGCTTCTTAATAAGGGCACTGAAAAGACCCTGTTAGGCTCTGTCTGTTTCCAAAGAGGATAGTAAATCAAAGATCCAGGAGACAACAGAAATTGGCATTTGCACACCAGAGGCTATTATTGACAAGCAACAAGAACAAAGTAGCGATGAGTCTGCAGGATAAGGGGATATTATAAAGCAGGAAACCACGACCTGCGTGACCTCAAAACAAAGTGAATTCATTCCTATTGTAATGCTTCTCATCTTACAAATCCTTACAAATATCTTTCCTTACTGGTGTGGTTAAAAAAAAAGAAAAATACCATGTATAACAATTCTTTCCTTTTTGCTGATATAACTAAATCTCATAGGTCAATGTGTGCACTTTATCTTTTAGTAGAGCAGCTGAAAAAACTCCCACCAAAATTAGTCACCTAAAACAAAATGATGCAGATGATCTCAGGCATACAGCGCGAGTGAGCAGCCGATCAAACACCGACAGAGATATTTATATTTTATCTTCACAGCCACTTGGATAGCAGCACTACCCAAGTGCCTGCCAAACAAAGAAACTGGCGAAAGGAGAAAATGACAAGGGTTCTATTTTCAGCCAAAATCCCCCACCAACCGCCCACACGCTGTCTCCCTCTCTCTCCTACTCACTGGTCGGTTCTGTTGCTGCTTTTTGCACAAAATTTCAAAAACTGTCTTGTCCATCCCACAGCTTTCTGTGCTGTGTTATAAACTAGATGGACTGGGCACGCAAGCCCATGAACTCGACCAAGTTGTCCTAGAGAACAAAGAGAGGTGAAGGGTAGTTGGCGAGAGTGAAATTAGGAACAAGGGGGGAGGTGGGGGAATTCCTCTGGGAGCTGCATTCCCCCTGCACATCAGGCCATATCAGGAGCAGCCAGCGGAGGGACAAAACAGGAACTGATAAGGGGGGCAGTGAAAACAAAGAAAGTTGACTTGGCTGAGACTCTCGGATGGGGAGGAAAGTAGAGGATAAGGACACGGGGAACTACGTCTCTTAGGGAAACTGAATCATAAACACCCATGACGGGGCATTAGGTAAACGACCCCCAGCGCACAGAGAAAGACAGCACAGTTTAACAAATGTGTCTGGTGAAAGTTGTCGACAAGCGGAAAAAATTACACGACCAGACATCTGATTAACATGCTGCTATTGTCTCAATGAGCAGTTTATCACTGCTATTACTGGCTTTGTTTGTGCACTGGCCCCTGCCCGATAAAGCATGAAAATGCAGAGCTGCACAGTGTGCCCTTTGTCTGTGGAAACAAGAGTGGAGTGCTGAATTATCTCCCTTGATAAAAGACATGCAGACCTATTTCTATCCTATTCATTAGTGTGGACATGGCAAAGACTGAGTCAACGGTCTACACCCAGGCCACAGCATGTTCCTTACCTGCGAATGTTTTTATACTTACATGACAGCAGATGGAACTAATTTCATCCATAGGAGCTGCTTTAATACAACACTGACAAAATCTGTAGCTGTGCATGTGAATTTTTCCATAATAAAACAAAAAGCAGTTTTAGTAGTTAAACTTCCCTATAATTCTTACTCTAACTTGTTGTTTCTCAGTATCTGAATTTAAATTATCATGTTTCCCCATCAGTTTTGGGCCATATAGTCTGCATAAGTAATTATTAGTATTACAAGTCAGAATGTTTTCATTACAAAAACAACCTTCACTTTAGGTTACAGTACAAGTCTCTTCCCTTCAGAAATCACATATCACAAACAGCACTTCTTATCTGAGAGTACTGATGTCACAGAAATCAAGCATAGATACACACAAGGTCAGAAGAAAAGCTGCGGTTTGGTACCACAGCCAGTTGGTGCCAACGCAAAAAAGAGACAATGGGAGTTTTTCCATGTGTCTCATTCTCTCTTCCGCATGCTGCAAACAGGTAGGCACGTCTGTTCTTTGTATTTGTTGGTCTCAAGTTTCCATGAATCAAATACTTAAAACCCTATGGCGCCATGTCTGCAGTTCAGTAGCTGGCCCTGACCTCTGACCTCCCCATGGAGGGGATAAACAAAACATTTCTCCAGCACAGACCATGAACCATAGTACAGTCTGCGCACACTTTCCTACATGCTTACGTTTTCTATAAATGCAGTAGTTGCGTTAGTGTGGGAGCGTGTGCTTACCTTCTTGGACACGTGGAAGGTTGGACTGGTCAATTTCCAGCTCTGCCATCACTGTCTCAGTTATGTCACTGCCTCATGGTTGAGAAGACCCTGACACCAGAAAGGACATTTTGGAAGTTATTACCTGGCTAAATTAAATGGGGACCTAAAGGCAAAGTAACGTTACAAGCCAGAAGGAATGAAATCTCCCAAGCTAACGTTAACGTTACACGAAGAGACACTGGGTGGACATTACAGTTAGTTAAATAGACTACTGATTTATCACAGTGATATTCATGCAAATCAGTCAACTAATTATCAACACACTCTGAAGACTTTTGAAATCAATGACAGCAGCCAAGCTAACAGGAGCAGTGCTGTTGTTAACTTAACATCAACTACAGCCTTTTATGTAAAACAGTAACTTGCTGTTTTACTGCGGTAACGTTAGGCCACTTGTTTGTCGGGCAAAGTTAACTAGCCACCAGACAAATATTCAGTCAGCCAGTTTACCACAGAGTCACTGTTTTATAACCTACCTGTTCCCAGCAGGCTGCCCACGCAAACTCCAGCGTTGTGTGTGTAACTTACACCAAGCAGCCTATTCAACAAGTTAACGTACCAAACATGACAGCGGAGTGTCAACTTTAGAGACGTCCGCAACGTCGCACTTTCCCTCTCCCTCCCTCTGTCTCTTTTTTTCCTCCTGTGTCTCTACAAATTACCCAGAATGTCAAGAACGTGCTTGACGGTTTCTAACGCCTCAACTTTTGGCGTGAATTTTAAAGCTAAACCGACGGTTGTTATTCTTCAATGAAACAAAGCCCGGTCGACTTGTGATGGGAAGCCAGGGCGGACAAACTTAGCCTACAGTCTGTCGCTCCGGCTGCTTCTTCACAGCTCCTGTTCGGCAGCAGTGGGGGCGGTGAACGGCTGCTGCCTTCACGTGCTCTGTCGAACTCAGACTTAGTCTCTGCCAAAGTTTAATCACGATGTCGGCCAATTTCACATGACCGTGTTATTCGGCATATGAAGAGGCGAAGGCGCTTTCTTTAACTGTTTTGGAATGTATTACAAACAGAGACAACCACAGATCCTGGAAAAAGGAAGAAGAAAATGTTAACCAGTGCAAAGAGAGGCGCACGGTAGCATACTTTTACGCTCCTAGACAACAACGCAACACAACAGTAAGCTTTTAGCTCCAACTGATGAAGCTCATCCCACATAACTATGCACCTAACATTACAACACTTTTATTATACAGGCCTTCGCACCCGCTTGTGTTTGCTCACTGAGTTGCAATATTTCTAACAGCTAGTGAATGCAACACTTAACCTGCCGAAGGTTCCAATCACTCAAAAGTTTCTGGCTAAAATTGTGGAAAAGTGTTATAGTATGCATTTTGTTATTTAAATCGCAGTAATTTAATAAAAAAATTGAAAAGAGCGAAACAAATCATTTGGGAGAAACATGCTTGATACTGCAAAGTGACCGTTTTTGCAACTCTTAAAGAAAGCACAATTTGATGATGTGGTTCATGCTCCCATGTCAAAAAAAATTCTATATATAAGTCGATATAAGTTTCATATCTGAGCAGGATAATATGCTGCTTTTATGATGATGATGATAAATTATTTTGAAGACTAGGACGTTTTGTGTCAGATACATTTTGCATGCTGTCAATCTGACATTCTTTGACTGATGAGTGAGGAGCAAAAAAGACTGTAGGAAGTCACAGTTCCTTTAAAGATACGTTTCCCTTTAAGCTAATTTACTGAAAATGTGTAAACGGGGTACAGTGCATTGGTTATTGTGGTTTTTCTAGACGTAATGTTGCCCTCTGCTGGCTTTACTTATATGTCAGTCAGATATCAATGAGGTCAAATCAACAAGTCACAAAAAATTTGCCAGGTCACATAGTTAAAAATAATAGTTAATGATGATTGATTGATGATGAATCATTGTTTGTCCTGCTTGGACTATAACAGTTGTTTGGTGTGATATGTGGCTTTTGGATCCATGACTGTCAATAGATTTAGACAATAAATCAGGTATTTTCAGCCAGTCAAAATTATTGGTTGATAAATAAGACACTGTGCCACCTGCCCCGACCTTTCTGTGTGGAGTTTGCATGTTCTCTCCGTGTCTGCGTGTGTTTTCTCCAGGTGCTCCGGTTTCCCCCACCATCAAAAACATGTTAGGTAGGTTCTCCAGTCAGTGCCGTTTCACCTGGCATGGCATCTCAATCTGGAGTTGGTCTCCGGGCGCTGTACAGTGGCTGCCCACTGCTCCCTTCAAGGGATGGGTTAAACGCAGAGGATGAATTTCGCAACATGTATGTGTATGTGACAATAAAGTATGTTCTCTTCTTCTTCTTCTTCTTCTTCTGCTATGGGACTATTTTAATGGTGAAGCAAATTATAATGTATCAGCACAGTGTGTTTCTCCGTGCTTTCAGCTGCACTGCTCCCGGGCTTGGGAACTCCCTGCTCCCACACATTCGACACTCCATAACATCATTCAAATCCCATCTCAAAACTCACCTGTTCAAACTGGCCTTCACACTACAACAATCATTTTACTGTTTCCCTTATATCCTTACAGTGTTGCTGTTTTATCCCCCCACCTACATGTATCTGCCCACTGTGTCTCTTGTTTTGTTTTGTCTAAGCTGGTGTTTCGCCATATTTCACTGTTTTTATCTGCATGATTCTGGTTCTTTTTATACCTTGTTATGCAAACCTTGGGTGTCTTGATGGGTACCCACAAATAAAATGTATTGCTATTATTGTTGCTATTATTATTATTATTATTATTTATAATTAAATTAGCATAACCATAACACTGCTGTAAACATTTCAGAGGAAGATATGTCCATATTTACTGCAGTAAATTTATCTGACAACTGTAGTTGCTTACACTGAGTTTTCTTCTTTTTTTTTCTGGCAAAACAAATGATACACTCATAGAATACCTTGCATTGCTGTGTGCTAAACCACCCAGCAGGTGAGATCTACTCAGACCAAGCACCACTTTGGCCAGAAATATACAACAATAAAATTCTGCTTAAATGTTAATGGAGCAGTTCTCTGAACTCTAAAAGGGACCATTTTGCCACATTTTGCACTACTTACTTCAGTGTAGCTATTTTACTATCTTATACTAAGAAAGTAAATGTATTCATATATTTATGACTTCAGGGAAATTATTCAGTTATCATGTCCCAGGGTACTTTTTGATAAATACATGTTTTTTGTCAAGAAAACCATGTATATGTGATGAATGGTTAAGATGTTTCTATATGTAACACGTTAATTTTTTTTTATCTGTTGCAGCTGTTCCTAAACATGTTCTTTCAATTCATTTACTGTTAATATCACTCTCCTCTGTTTGCTCTGATCCACTCTATATCATATGAAGCTTGTCATCGAAACGTAGTATGTGCCTATGTTTGTTACAAAACACCAGTACCTGGTAGAAATAGATTCCTCATAATTTATAAAAAGGACCCCATATATAGCAGGACAAACTTTAAGTTTTGGGGAGACAACATTTATTTTGGAGTCTGGAATAAGCTGTAATTGGCACCGAGACCTTGACTAATACAGAATATAAATCTTAATAGCTTTCTATGATATACAGCAACACTTAATGGAGTGTCTGGCCTTCTGGCCATAAAATTAAATGTCACTGTCACTTCGTAAACCCTCATTATCATACAAGAGACTGAACACTGACGTCACGCTTCTAATAAATATACAAATAACATAAAGAGGTGCAAAATGTGACTTTGTAAACAGCTGTCTCCACCTGTCCCCCAGTCTCTGAGCTGATAGGAAAGTCTCTCTGACTCTGTCCACCTATGCTGGACATACTAATAAACAAGGGCTTTATTGCCTGACTAAAAGGACAGCACAAATATAGCATCTTACCAGAACAATGCCTCTAAATAATGTGCATGAATCAATGTGATTCAGTGACCCATGGAAAATTCTCTGCTGTCTTAAATTGACTTAAAATGTCAAACGGCTTATAGGCTATACGGCCTTAAACATTTTAGCATTTCCACTGAACCACTATCCCAGTAATTATGCAGTTTTATTAAGCATTTTCGCTGCTTTGTATGCAGCTATAATTGTGGAGTTTGTCTATGGGCTCTGAGGATTCAAATGGCCCAAGAGTTGAATTAACTGGTAGCATTAAACATTAGTTATATGGCTGCCCAGTTTCTCCACCTGCTCCCCTATTGGATGTTGTTGAGAGTGACATCTGAAACACCTGCTTCGGTCCCATTTACACAGTCAGTAAAACAGTCATTCAAGCTGAAGAGCTGGTAAAACATGACGGTGCCCTTGAAGCAAGGGCTACGGCACTTGTCTTTTTATTGAACCTATAATTCACCTGTGACTGCCTGTTGATTTATCACAGTTAGAAGGGATGGGGATATTGCTGATGGCTGTTGTGACCAACAAAAGTGTGTGTGTGTGTGTGTGTGTGTGTGTGTGTCTACTGTGTGGCATGTGGGAGGGGGGAAAGGCTACAGCTGGAAGTATATAACCCAATTGGGACCAACACAGCATGTACAAGTCGCCTTTCAACCTCAGGAGCTCCGTGCAAATCAGAGCCACTTGACCAACAACAGCCTCCTATAGTGATGAAGTGTAACCATCTCTTCTCCTGGGCCTTTCTGCTCGTGGCCTCTGGCCCACTACTGGCCCACCCCATCACAGAATCTGCTGAGATGCCCTATCCAGGACCTGGTGAGTGGAAAGTAAAATGTCAGTTATAGCTGTTTTTCAAGTGGATTCATTAATTCAGTACTTTGATTAGCATTTTTAGTAATAAAACTTAATTTGTGAAGCAGGGCCTTAAAGTAATTGCTCTAGAGCCACAGTGTTGAACAATGATTCACTGAAGTTCACACATCATAGCCCATGTTAATGCAGGAGTTCTCTGCATTGGAGAATATATTCAGTTTTCTGTTCAAATAATTAGAAATACTAAGTCATGACAAAAGTAAATCTCGCGTGTGTTTACTATTTAGCATAAACTCCTCAAATAATCCAAATAAATGTCATGTCTAGATGATGTAAATGTACATCATGTGAATGTATATTTACATATCATCTGGGTGTTACCAACTTTGTGTGGCTGTTCAATTATCCTTAGTATCAGTGGAAGACAGAGGAGTCGGCACTCTGGATGATCTGTCTCTCTCTGAGCAAATCTTCCCCCTTCAGGATGGTGCTGGACTCAGATATTCCACTCTGATATCTGGGGAGAGCAACAGAGATGGTAAGAAACACACATAGAGACAGAAACACACACACACACACCTTCAGTCATCAGTACACACTTGTATGAGCTCGTCATATAATATAGTACTTAACACTTACGCAGACACTTACTTTATCCAGGGAAAATCGCCCAGTTTCTATTTTGCAGCAGCACTGCACTGTGCTGCAAAGTTGAATTGATACACACAAAAATACTAGTTAACTATATTTTTCTGTGGAAGCACCACTGGAGAAGCAGACTGTTGGAGGTATTAATCAAGAGCGTGTAGTTTGTAGTTGTTGACAGACACCCATTCATTCATCCCACTCTTTACTTCTTTAAACTTTAGTCACCACTGCCCAAAATGCTTGACATGCACAGAAACATGGATAATGCAACAAGCTGATATCAGATATCATAATATTCTCATGTTTTATTTCCTCTCAGGGGTCAGAACAACAGGCTTGCTTCCTAGGGGGATGAAAAGAGAGGTAGGTTTTCTACAAATGTTATCCCTAAAACAACGAAGTGAGAGAAGTAAGCTACACACTGTCAGTAAAATGTTTATCACTACTTTATCCTGTCTTTCAGGTTCTATTGGAGAAACAAAGTCTCCTAAATCCTTTGAGCCGTGTGCTGGGCTTCCGGAAGCAGTTTAGGAAGAGAGCAGGGAATTCCGAGTGTTTCTGGAAGTACTGTGTCTAAAACTGTCATCGGGCATTGATGCTACACAAGAAGACAGGGCTTGCACTAAAACAAAAATCCCTTCCTTGCACTCACATAAGTACATGCAGACAAAATAAGAAACATCATGCATGCATATACTGTATGTGCGCATATGCATGCCTCGTGCATGTACTCCCACATACACACTCACATATGTAAGTCAGTATTTGTTCACAAAGAACATTGCCATAGGTATGATTGAGACTTGTTGTTTGGGGACCTTAAAATGATTTATTTCGATTACTTTTTTGTTGTGTGAAACTATATTTGTGTACACACATTAGTGAAAAGTCCATAGTTGTCTGATGTATGACCAAATGTCTTTTAAATGTGAAAGTCAAAGGTTCTACAGCACTGTATGTTTAATAGAAATTAAACACTATATTATAAATACTGTCTCTGCTAATTGTCCATCCTTGAGAAAAGGTGTTTGTAGGAAACATAGTAGCAGCAGAAACCATTATCCCTTTCTTAAAAGTGAAAGAGGAAACAAAAAGACGGAGCAAAGTGTGTTCTCGAGTTTTCTTCATTTTTTCCTTTTTTTATTATTTTACAGCAGAAAGAATATAAAGCATTCAGAAAACATCTTCCATATTTTAAGGGCAATTCAAAACGTTTTGCATGGCTTCAGCAGCTGAAATCTCTTTTTTTTTAAAACATATCCATCGAGTCAGTGACGCTTGTACATGCACAATTACAAAAATAAAACTTACAAACAAGAGAAGGGAAGGAAAAGGAGGAAAGCAAAACACATTAGGAGAACCAAGGGGAGATGAAACTTTTAAAGGCAGGGATTGGGAGCGGAGAAAAATTGGGTCACATAACAGGGAAAGACAGAGAGAAAGACAGTTATAGAGGAGAGGAAAATAGATCTAACACTAGTTCACATGCAAAGTGTCGAGGACCCATAACTTTCTATCAAAGCAGGGCCTTTTTTTTCTTCTCGGTTTGGAATTGATGAAAACGTGCAGTTCGGTAAAGGGTGCCATATAATTGCTGTCCATAAACTACTGAATGCTTGTCTTGCAATACTGGCATTTGCATAAGAGTAAGTCGACTACATGTGTCCAATCATTTTAAACTTCACTAGGTCTATAGGTCTCCACAAAATAGTTCTTTATTGCTCTGTGTCCACAAGTGGAATATGTTGTAAAACTGTTTATGTTCTGTTGTCCTGATGTGCCTACCTTTCTCCAGTTTGGGTGCTTGGGGAAAAAGAAGAGGAGGAAAGGCAGATTCCCAGGTCAATTCACAGAACTTCTTGAAATTGATAATACTGTATACTAATGAAGAGTGCCTATCAGCTAACCTGTCATCCCATTCATAAATGGCAGTAAAAACAAGATTTGAAGGTGAACTTTTCACATAACTACACTTGTATTCTTAAATACCCTCTACACTTCTCTGTCACTTAGATAAATTAAAGGCCTACAGAATTGGCCAGAATTATACTATGATTTGACAGGCTTCTATGACAGAAAGTCAAATCATTTATCTTAATGAGCTATATATAACAGGATTATATTCCAGGGCTCCACTGGTGTCTGTAATGTTCAACATTACTGAGAGAAAATGGATCATATTTCATATTCATTCATTTTAAAGACCTCAATGTCGCAGCAGTGAACCCGTCTGTCCCAGATTCTTTACCAGAAAGCACTACTGAAAGGTTTTACTATTTCAATTTCAGCTTCTTCTGCTGTGAATCACGTGTCCTGCTCTGTTTCCTCCTCCCCATTTTGGCACCCTGAGTAAAATACAGAAGGGAGGTGAACCAGTCCCTCAGCCTAGAGAAGAGCAATGCTGCCTTCACCACTCAGTGTACAAATGAAACTGACACCTTGACATGTCTGCATGTTTGCTGTGCTGTATCTTGTGCATATGTTTGTGTGTACCGTGTTTCACTTCGTTAATACTTGCTATACATACTGTCACAATGGTCTTCGACCTTGGCCATTTGTCATATTTGAAGTTAGGAGCACACTGATCAAATCTAAATTAATAAAAATAAAAAATAAAGAAAAAGTCTAAAAGGTTAGAGCTTGGTCTAAAAAACAATCCTGTCTTCATGCTGTGCCATGAAAACCTCAGTAGCTACTGAGTATTGATCATTGGCTCATTCGTAGGTTTCCCGTCTGCCCTCCAGTCACATGCCCTCTGTCTTTCTGAGTTCTGTGACACGTCAAACCAACGTTCATCGTTTTACAGAACAGTAAGTCTTTTAACAAGTCTATCTGGCTACCGATTCTAGGAAAATAAGCATGCTTTAGGTGCAGTTCTGTCACCCAGTTAACTATTTTACCCATGCAAGCATAATAAATCCTTCTCCTTTTTTCCATGACATTGCATTGGCAATGCATTCTAACCACAGACCAGAGGATGAAAGCAAGGCAACAAACCCCAGTAGTGGCATTTCTAATTGTGATTTTAACAAGCTGTACCAGTAGAAAACGGAAAAGAAGACAGAAAAAGAAAACAAAGCTCAGCATGTTGACAAGCTGGAGTGCTGTACTGATACTGGTGTGAACAGGGAATATCATACTGTGGCTTTAGTGAGCGTAAGGTGATGGTGATCATGCGTGTTCATGTAGATGATACACCACTGTCTGTGGGTGGACCTTGTTTGGGACCTCTCACATTTTCTCAACCTCAGGTACATTGTTTGCATTCTGACACTGGATTGGTGTGATCAGGATATGAATAGGCACTTTCTACATAAACACTCGGGAAATAAAATTTACATTATCAGTTGTGTGGAAAACAACAAACAACCAGTCAGTCAAGGAAATAAATCTGAGAAATACCTATTTAGCTTAATAATTATTGGACAAACATGACAATTCAATAAACAAAACTCAAGCTTTTCAGTGGCACTTGGCTGAATAATCAAATATCATTACTTGGATACAGAATACACTTTCTGGTAGTTTGGTAGGAATATATTATAGGAATTAGGCAGCAACCACTAGGTACCTCTAAGCCAGCAACTCATGTATTCTCTCTCAGATTGCTCCTACAGCTCAATCAAAACTGCTATATATGTATATATTATCCAATGTACAAGACACATCTTATGCCTCATAATTATAAATGGCACCAGTGCACTGTTTTACACATTAGTTACTACAGTCATTTTGGCTCATTGACCCTGCATCGAGGCAAGTGACAACTTTTAGTGCTGTCCTTCTGGGTAGAATCATTTTAGCACCTTTGACTGTTGGAACAGTTCATGTTACAAATGTTTCCAGCTGCTTGACAAAGAAATCCAGTCATGTACAGTATGATACACGTTTTTCAGCAAGACATCTTTTTCTTTGTTCTTTTTGACATGGAATACAATGTCTATCGAAACCCTGGCAGCCTTGATCAAGGACTTATTTTTTTATTAAGACATACTGTATTAGGATAGTCCTGTCACCAGATTTCTACATGGATCCGCCAAGAATTGATAAATCAATGCTTGCAGCAATATACTGCACATTTACAGCAAACAGGTGAATTAATTTTTTCTCAGTGACAGACAGTAATTACATAGTTTTATAGGGACACCATGGGCAAGGCTGCCAATCTTTATGATCAGATAATATACCTCAGTAACATATCGCATTCCTTTGACATATGACAACAAAAATAAAACTCAAATGTTGCTATGGCATATTCAGTGATGGTCAAATGCTTCAGTTATCTGTGGGAATGGTGGAGACATGAGAGACTTAAATACTTTCTGCTTAAATATGACTCCCTGTGCCAACTGTGTACCTTATTGTTCTAGTGATCCTCAGCCAGTTTTGATCTTATGGTCTTTAGTGCTAGTGTGTATTTCACTGTATGATTATCTGTTCTGCAAAAATTAACTTAATTCTCTTCTTAAGCTATATAGCATTCACATACCTTGGCACCATTGGCAAAAAATTCTTGGTAGCCCAAAACAAACAAACAAACAAACAAATAAAAAAGAAAATGTAAACATAACCATACTTTTTTAAAGATAATTTTGCAGACTTCTCCTAACTCTAAATACATTTTTTTTAACTTTTGTATACTGCAATAGAATCATGCTTTAGCAAATTGTTCTTCTCAAGAACAATCAAAATAAAATAAAATACTCTAATAGTGAAATAGTTTTAATTTTACAGAGCATAGCCACTACTGCTTTTGTTGTTTTTTTCCCTTTTGACTCTGTTCATACTTTTCATGCACATAGCTCATTTTTATCCCAGGTATTTACACTATTTACAAACAATACAACCATACTTCTTAGGCATTCAAACAAAACTATACAAATATTCTGTTTTTGTCTCATACCTGTTTTTGACCCATTTTTAATGAATAAAATAATATATTTCTAAAATACAATCCCCTTTGGGTAAATGTTTTTTCCTACGTACTTTCAGCCTTCTTTATATACAGAAATCGCTCAATTGTCAAAAATATGGATTTGTCAAACCCCTATTTTGGGACAAGCTTAGGGACCCCTCAAAGAATCTCTAAGACGTCAAGGCAATGTATGTGATCTTCCCCTCAAAAGCCTTCACAGGCCTTGAAGTTCGTTTAAAAATAACAGTAATAACCTGCATGACCATAACAACACAAAATAGGCAAGTTCTTCTCACTTGTTAGGTTTCAGAGGCGCAATCAACTAAATGAAGCAAAATGAAACTAAATAAAAAAGAAACAGGACAATACAGGGATAGCTTCATTACTGAGATGGTTGAACTTACGGGGGAGAACCTGCATATGTGGACCACTAAAGTGGAAACAAAAAGAAAATCCAAGGATAGGCTGAAAGACTAGATCATAAGCACACAAGCAAAGACTTTTCTTGCCAAGAAGTCATGCATTTTTTTCTTGGTAGGATTCAACAACATAGAGTCTGAAGATACAGATCACCAATACATTGGACATGATGGAACAAATAGATTGGACAATATGGAAGAAATTCAAGTAATAAAGTGACAATATACGATAAAACAGTGTTTTTTAAGAAATGGCAAAACAGAAAGATTTAATCCCCCATCTGCTTCTGCATGAGTAAACCCCCGACTACATTCATTTGTAGCTCCACCCATGTGGGCAGACTGGTGGGAGAATTTATGAACTAAATTGAATATTGAATCCTCTACAGAAGTGAATAGAAGGGGGCGTGTGGGTTACTAACATATTTGGTTAAAAAATAATCCTTCAAATGAATTGATTGGTCACTTAAAAAAATATGAAATACAATTAGAGCCCAGAGTGTTTCCGCATGGTCTCCCTATCCTCTGAGATCTCCTGCAGCAGCCTTAATTTACGTATCTTCAGGTCCTCGCGCGTGACAGGACTCCTCAAACATCTCCTGCGTTCACTTCCTTCAACATCCAAAACCTCATCACA